CATTTCCTAGTTGGACCCAGACTGATACAGTAACCTTGGGCAAATTACTAAATCTCTTCTATATTTCAGTTTCCTTATCTGTGAAATGGGGATAAAAGTAGTGTCCTCAAAAGGTAACTGTGAGAACTAAATGACTGAATATATATAAACTACTGGAGAACAATGCATGGTATGTAACAGTCACTCAATGAACAATAGTTATTATTATTGTTATTATTCAAGATTATGTTTTGTTGGTTATTTCAGAAAAAAATGCATTAAAGAAGTAAATGAAAAATAAATTATAAGTGTATTAGAAGAAAATATAGGTGACTATACTTATAATTATGAGGGAAAGCTTAAGAAATGCAAAATACAAAAGCCACAAAAGAACAATAAGTTCGACAAAAATTTTAAATTCTAATATAATAAAGCACATTGTAAGTAAAGTTAAAAGGCAAGCCACAAGAGATATGGAACAGTCAGTTCATAGAGAAATGCTAATGGCCTTTAAACATATGAAATTTCATTACTAATAAAATTTCATAATGAAAGAAATTAAAATTAAAATTAAAACTAATTGATATACTCTTTCTTACCTATCACAGAAACCAGAAAGGATAAAGAAGACTGGAACAAGTGAATAACCAAACTGACCAAACCGGCACATATAGAACATCACCCAACAACTACAAAATATATACTCTTTTAAAGTTCACATGGAATGCTTAACAAAACATACCATAAACTGGGCCATAAAGCAAGTCTCAAAAAGCTTCAAGGGACTGGAATCATATAGAGGATGTTCTCTGACCACAGTGAAATTAAACTAGAAATCAAAAAAAAAAGCTAACTAAAAAGTCCTTAGGTAAATAAATTTGACAACTCCTATGAAAAAGACAAATTCCTTTACAAACACAATGAGAGGAAAATATAATCTTATAATTGTTAAAGAAATTGAATCCATTTTTTGAAACTTCCCACAAAGAAAACTCCACTAATTTAGAATAACTAATGAATTCTCAGAAGAAATCATTCCAATCACATGCAAATTCTTTCAAAGAGGAAAAAAAAATCCCCAATTCATTTTGTGAGGTCAGCCATAACATGATTCCAAAACCTGAAAATAATATTACAAGAAAGGAAAATTAAGGCCAATCTATTACATGAAGATAGATGTCAAAATCTTAAACATCAACAACTTGAACCCAGCAGAATATAAAAAGATAAAAATATGACCGAGAAGACTTTATGCCAAGGGAACATTCAAAAATCAATCACAAATTTCATATTTAACAAAATAAAGGAGAAAAATCTTTATCTCAACAGACACAGAAAAGCACTTAATGATAATTCAATACCCATTTATAATAAAAACTATCAGCAAACTAAGATTAGAAGGGAACTTCCTCAATCTGATAAAGAGTATCTATGACAGTCCAAAAGCTAGCAGAGCATATAGAATGGTGAAATATTTAATGCTCTCCTTCTAAGATCAGGAACAAAGCAAAGATGTACACTAACACCATTTATATTCAACACTGCACTGAATGTCACGGCCAAATGAAAAGTTTACATATTGCAAAGGACAAAGCAAAATTGCATGAGTCATAGGTAATATAATTGTGTATATAGAAATTCCATGGGAACCTATTTTTTCAAATGCTAGAATAAGTGATAGAATAACTTCATCAAGGCTAGTGAATTCAAGGCCAATATACAAAATTCAATTATATTTCTAAATTTAATAAAACAATTAGATATTGACATTCTAAATATATATACTTTATAATAACATCAAAAAACTAAGTATCTAGAATAAATCTAATAAAACATATACATGACATTTATACTGAAAACCATAAAACAATGCTGAGGAAAAAAAGAGTAATGTTTATATAAATATACATATTCTATGTTTGTGGGCTGGAATATTCAATATTGTTAAGACATCAATTGTCCACAAATGATTCTATATATTCAATGCAATACCAACCAAAATCCCAGCAGGGTTTTATTATGGACATTGACAAGCTGACTCAAAAAGTTTATGAAAATGGCCAAACACCTAGAATAGCCAATATAATCTTAAAGGAAAAAAAAAAGGAAGTTAAAAATCTTATAGTACCTTATCAAGAATATACATACATATCAGCAGATATAAAGAATATAAAGCTACAGTAAACAAGACAGTATGGCACTGGCAATAAATAGGACAATGGAATAGAATAGAGGGTACAGAAACAAGCCATTGCATGTATAGTCAGTCACCTGATTTGCCAACACAGTTATGTGAGGAGAACACTGTCCTTTCTATTGACAATGGCAATGAACCATCTGGATATCCGTAAGAGAAAAAAAAGTAATGTCAGCTCCTATCTCACATACACTAACATTAATCTGAGCTTGATAAGAGAGCTAAATGTGAAGGGTAAAAAACAATAGAACTAAACAAAAACAAAAACAAAAAACCTATTAGGGATGCCTGGTGGGCTCAGTCGGGAGAGCATGTGACTCTTATCTCCAGGCCATGAGTTCAAGCCCCACATTGGGTGTAAAGCTTACGTTTAAAAAAAAAAAACAAACAAACAGAAGTATTAAAAGAAAACAACAGAGACAATCTTCATAACTTTGGGTAGACAAAGATTTCTTAAATAAAATATTTAAAAAATAACCATAAAATAAAAGGTTGGTAATTTAAACTACGTAAGAATTAAAAACTTCAGTTCATCAGAAGACAGCATTAAAAGAGTGAAAAGGTCATCCACAGACTAGGAGGAGATATACATACTACAGTATCTGACAAAGGATCTGTATCTAAAATATATAAAGTATTTGAACAAATCAATGAAAAAAGATAATCCAATAAAAATATGCAAAAGACTTTTGAACATACACTGCACAACAAGAATATCTAAATGGCCAATAGGTATATCAAAAGGTTCTCAGTATCATTAGTCACCAGAGAAACTAAAATTAAAACAAAAATGCCACTGCACACATACCAAAATGGATGAATTTTATTTTTTTTTAAGATTTTATTCATTTATAAGAGAGAGAGAGAGCACAAGCAGGGGGAGCGACAGGCAGAGGGAAAGGGAGAAGCAGGCTCCCCATCAGCAGGGAGCCCAATGTGGGGCTCAATCCCAGGATGCTGGGATCATGATTTGAGCCAAAGGCAGACGCTTAACCAACTGAGCCACCCAGGCACCCCAAAATGGATGAATTTTAAAAAGAATAGCAATACCAAATGTTGGCCCTGATGTAGAGTAACTAAAATGATCATACACTGCTGGTGGGAGTATAGATTGTAACAACTACTTTTGAAAACTGTCCAGCAGTATCAACTAAAGCAAAACACATTATGTACCTAAACTTATCATCTAGTATAATGTTGAACAGAAGTGATGAGAGTGAACACTGCTGTATTATCCCTGATCTTAAGGATAGGATCTTAATGATAAACTTACCATTCCAAATCTTAGGTTTATAACCAAGAGAATCAAGTACATATGTCTATCAAAGACATGTACAAGAATATTCATTGGCGCAGTCAAAAACTAGAAACTGGGCGCCTGGGTGGCTCAGTTGGTTAAGCGACTGCCTTCGGCTCCGGTCATGATCCTGGAGTCCTGGGATCGAGTCCCACATCGGGCTCCCTGCTCAGCAGGGAGTCTGCTTCTCCCTGACCCTCCCCCTCTCATGCTCTCTCTATCTCATTCTCTCTCTCAAATAAATAAATAAAAAATCTTTAAAAAAAAAAAACTAGAAACTATTCAAATATCCTCTAAAGGAGAACAGATAATTTATTATATATTATATACTCATGCAATAAAATACTACTAAGTAATAAAAAGAAAAAATTACTGTGACACAAAACATGGGTCAATCTCACAGGCAGAGTATTAAGCAAAAAAAAAAAAAACAGACACAGAGGTGTATGATTCCACTCATATAAATTTCAGGAACAAGCAAATTAATCTATGGTACCTAAAGTCAAAATTAAGGGAGAACGGGAGGAGGAGGGAAGGCAGGAGCAGAGTATAAGAGGTATGGACTAGGAAGAGGCATAAAGAACTCTTCTGGGATTATAGAAATGTTCTGTATTTTTTTAAGATTTTATTTATTTATTTTAGAGAGAGAAAGCATGCACAAACAGGGGAGGAAGAGGAACAAGCAGACTCCGTGCTACTGCTGAGCAAGGAACCCAACATGGGGCTAGATCCTAGGACCCTGAGATCATAACCTGAGCTGAAATCAAGAGTCTGATGCTCAACCAACGGAGCCACCCAGGCACCCTGGAAATGTTCTGTATTTTGACATGGAAATGTCTTATAGCTTGACCTGGGTAATGGTTTACATAGCTGTATACATTTAAAAATTCATGCAGCTTTATAATTAAAATATGTGCATTTCATGTGTATTTGTAAAATATTAGATATATCTTATATGTACTGATGTGGGAAAAATCTCTAAAACATCCTAGTTAAAGAAAAAAGAAAGTTTCATAATAATATGTACATATATTTTTTAAAAAATACATGTGTGAAACTGCGTTTCTATTACACAAAAATATAGATAAATGCACTGTATTTTACTGGTTAAACCCCTTCAAGGAGAAAGGGATGAGAAGGAAAGATTTGGAAGAGCAACGGCAAATTTTATTTACATCATTTGATTTTCTAACAAAAAAATATATTATTTGTGTATTTCAAATAATCATAAAATTAAAAGAATATGCTAACTCGCAGGTTAAATGTCTATAATTTCAATGAGATGGAGGAGAATGATCAACCTCTAACAAAGACTTGAACATAAGCTTTTTTACTATTTTCTTTAAAACTTTTCAAAGCTAAGACTTCATGTTTTAAATTCAATAAGAGAAAACAATGTTGTTTTCAATACTAGTCCAAGCAAGAATGGTAGAAAACACTAGATTGACTAAGTCTTTAGGAGGCATCATATGGTAATATTCATAGTTCTTTAGAGAATAGAGATAATGTGTTATAATGTCCACGTACCACTCAGTGCTCCAACAGCTCCAAAATTTAAGGATTTTCCATCCATTATGCTGGCATCACACTCAATTTCACCCAAGAGATTTAGATTAGATCCCATTCCTGCATTTGTAAAAGGAGAATCCTAAGAGATAAAAACAAAAATTAAAATACCATTAGTCTTAAAGAAGATTTAATGTCAATCCTTTTTAACTGTTCCAAAAACTAGAAAGGGAAAGAACACTCTCGATTCCTTGCACGATACCAGTACTACCCTGATTCCAAAACAAGACAAAGACATCATGAGGAAAGAAAACTACAGGCTAATATATCTTGAGACTATAGGCACAAAAATCCTCAAGAAAATGCTAGCAAACCAAATGCAGCAAAACATAAAAGTCTTATACACCATGAACAAGAGGGATCCCAGGGAAGCAAGTTTGGTTTTAATATGTGAAACTTAATGTAATACACCATGTTAATAAAGAAAAAAATAAAAATAAATAAACTAAATAGAAAAAACAGGATCATACTAATAAACACAAAAAAAGCATTTAACAAAATCCAACACCCTTTCATGAGAAAAGCACTCAACAAACTAGAAATAGAAGGGAACTTCCTATATATGATATAATAAAGGACATCTACAAAAAGTCCAGAGCGAACATCATAATTAATGGTGAAAACTTGAATGTTTTCCCTTAAGATCAGGGATAATACAGCAATGTACTCTCATCACTTATATTCAACATTATACTGGATATTCTGGACAAAACAATTAGGCAAGAAAAAGAAATAATGAGCGTCTATATTGGAAAAGAAAAAGTAAAATTATCTCTTAGTATAAGAGGACATGATCTTGTATACAAAAAGTCCTAAGGACTCCACTAAAAAACTATTAGGACTGATAAGTTCAAAAGGGTTTCAAGATACAAGATCAATATACAAAAATCAACTGTTATTTCTACATATTAGCAATGAACAATGTGAAGATCAAATTCAGAAAACAATTCCACTTACAATAACATCAAAAAGAATAAAATACTTAGGAATAAATTCAACAAAAGAAGTAGAAGATTCATACACTGAAAACTATAACACATGTTAAGAAAAAATTAAAGAAGACCTAAATAAATGTAAGGACACCCATGTACATAGATCAAAAGGTTTAATGTCTTTAAGACAGCAATACTCTCCAAAATTGATCAGCTTCAACACAATCCCATATCAAATCCTAACTACCTTTTTTGCAGAAACTGACAAACTAACCCTAAAGTTCATAAGGAAATGCAAGGGACTCAGAATCACAATCTTCAAAAGAAAAATAAAATCGGAGGGTTCACACTTCTAAGTTTTATAACTTACTACACAACTACAGTAATCAAGACTGTGTGATATAACTAAGGACAGACATATAGATCAATGCAATAGAACTGAGTGTCCAGATACAAGCGTTATATTTATGGTCAATTCAACAACGATGCCAGAACAATTCAATAAACAAAGGGTAGTATTTTCTATAAGTGGAGCTGGGACTATGGATATTCAATCCAAGAGAACAAAGTTGGGATTCTATCTCACACCATGTACAAAAATTAACTCCTAGTGGATCAAAAACCTAAATATGAGTTAAAACTATAAAACCATTCAAAGAAAACATTACGGCAAATGTTTATGACCTCAGATTAGATAGTGGTTTCCTAGATATGAAACTAAAAGCACAAGCAACCAAAGAAAAAACTAGAATTTGGATGTCATCAAATTAAAACTTTTGAGTTTTAAAGTACACAATAAAAGTAAAAAAAAAAAAAAAAAAAAACCCACTCAGAATGGGGGCAGGGGGACTGTAAATCGTTTATCCGTAAGAAATTTGTATCCAGGATATATAAAAACTTCCCACAATTCTAAAATAAAAAGACAATTTTAAAATGGATAAAGGATATGAATGAACATTTCTCCAAAGAAGGTATATAAATGGCCAATAAGCACATGAAAAGATGCTCAACATCATTACTCATCAAGGAAAGGCAAATCAAAACCACAACAAACTACTACTTCACACCCACAATTCCACTTAAAATAACATCAAAAAGAATCATAAAGACAGATGTGTTGGCAAGGATATAAAGAAATTAGAACCCTTACACACTGCTGATGGGAATGTAAAATGGTACAGCCACTTTGGAAAACATCTGGAAACCCCTCAAAAACTTAAACATAAAGTTACCATTTGACCCGACAATTCCACTTCTAGGTATATACCCAAGAGAAGTGAATTGTCTACACAAAACTGGTACCCATATATTCACAACAGCTTACTTAATACTCATATGCCAGCATTTCTGGAAACAACTCAAATGCCCACCAACTGATGAATGGGTAAGTAAAACATGGTATATCTATACAACGGAGTATTAATCAGCAATAAAAAGTAATGAAGTACTGATGTATGGCAAAATATGGATGAACCTTAAAAACATAATGCTAATCAAAGAAGTCAGTCACAAAAGATCACATACCAGATGATCCAATTTATATGAAATTTCAAGAAAGGCAAATCCATAAAGTAGATTAGTGATTGCCAGGGGTTGCAGAAGGAGGAATGGGGAGTGACAGCTAATATGTACTGTGTTTCTTCTTGCAGTGATTCAGATGAACTAAAAGTAGATGGTGTGACAGCTGCAGAACTTTATGAATATACTAAAAACAAGTGAAATGTATACTATAAAAGTGAATTTTACGGTATATGAATTATATCTTTAAAAAGATAGCATGAAGGGGCGCCTGGGCTGCCCAGTTGGTTGAGCGTCCGACTTTTGATTTTGGCTCAGGTCACGATCTCAGGATTGTGGGATCAAGCCCCACATCAGACTCCACGCTAAGCATGGAGCCTGCTTGAGATTCTCTCCCTCTCCCTTCCCTCTCCCCCCGTCTCTTTCTCTCTCTCTCTAATAAATAAAATCTTTTTAAAAAATAAATAAAAAGATACCATGAAGGAAAAAAAAAGCTTGTATCAGCAGACTACAGAACATAAAGGCCTGGAATCAGAAGGGCACACAATGTGATGAGCACTGGGTCATATATGCAACTAATGAATAATTGAACATTACATCAAAAACTAATATGTTGGGCGCCTGGGTGGCTCAGTTGGTTAAGCGACTGCCTTCGGCTCAGGTCATGATCCTGGAGACCCGGGATCGAGTCCCGCATCGGGCTCCCTGCTCGGCAGGGAGTCTGCTTCTCCCTCTGACCCTCCTCCCTCTCATGCTCTCTGTCTCTCATTCTCTCTGTCTCAAATAAATAAAAATCTTAAAAAAAAAAAAAAAAAAAAAAAAACTAATATGTTGGCTAATTGAATTTAAATTTAAAAACTGAAAAAAAAAAGTCAGCCATGTATTTGCAATCTAAAAGAAAGACACTATCTTATTTTTCTAATACTGTGAATAAAGTTTTTAAAAATATATACCACTAGTCTTGTTATGTCAATATAATATCATACATGATTTCCAACCACAGATATGGAAAAAAAAATCTAACAATATAAAATCTTACAATAAAAATAAACATCATGGGGACAAACTCCCAAAAGACAAGAAAGAAAGGAAAGAGAGGAAGAAAGGAAGAAAGGAAGGAAGGAAAGAAAAAAGAAAAGAAAAGAAAAGAAAAGAAAAGAAAAGAAAGAAAAGAAAGAGAGAGAGAGAGAGCCGGGGATGGAAAGATTAGATTGACACTCCTTAGAATAATATTTGCTGTAGGTTTTTCATAGATGGCTTTTATGATATTGAGGTATGTACCCTCTATCCCTATACTCTGAAGAGTTTTGATCAAGAAAGGATGCTGTACTTTGTCAAAAGCTTTTTCTGCATCTATTGAGAGGATCATATGATTTTTGTTTTTTCTTTTGTTAATGTATTGTATCACATTGATTGATTTGCGGATGTTGAACCAACCTTGCAGCCCAGGGATAAATCCCACTTGGTCATGGTGAATAATCCTTTTAATATACTGTTGGATCCTATTGGCTAGTATTTTGGTGAGAATTTTTGCATCCATGTTCATCAGGGATATTGGTCTGTAATTCTCCTTTTTGTTGGGGTCTTTGTCTGGTTTTGGGATCAAGGTAATGCTGGCCTCATAAAATGAGTTTGGAAGTTTTCCTTCCGTTTCTATTTTTTGGAACAGTTTCAGAAGAATAGGTATTAATTCTTCTTGAAAGGTTTGGTAGAATTCCCCTGGGAAGCCATCTGGCCCTGGGCTTTTGTTTTTTGGGAGATTTTTGATGACTGCTTCAATTTCCTTAGTGGTTATAGGTCTGTTCAGGTTTTCTATTTCATCCTGGTTAAGTCACTGCATAGATGAAAGGCGTACTCCAAAATAAAGTCCATAAAAATGAACAACTCTAACCTCACATTCTAGAAAACTGAGTCAATCCAGAAAATTAACCCTGTTCTAAGGTAAGACCAATATTATCTAAGAAACTACAGCAAATCTGGATCAACCTATAGATCACCAAATGCCTCATATCATCTACAAATGTCCCCAGTTTCCTGTACTTCTGCAAGATCCAAGAAAACTGACCACAACATTAAACCTTCTTAACGTGTACCTATAACTAGAGCAAAGGGGTCAGAGATTGGAGAACAGAGTTTTTGTCCTAATGCAGTTAAATAACCGAACAGTCCACGGAATTTTAAAAATAAGATCACAGGATGGGGAAAAAAAGGCTATATAATTATATAGAAATGAGTTAATAATGAGATAATAAATGCTTTCAGCACCCAAAAGGAAATGGCGCACTATGAAACAGAGAAGTTAACAGCAGGCTTCCTGAACATAGCCAGGAAGCTAGAAAATTCCAGTTGGTGGAAATGATGTGAGCAACATACAGGCAATGGGAAAGTGTCAGAGCCACAGAAGACACATTCAGCAAAAAGGATTTACTGGAGCCAAATCTGAAGATTGAGACATACTATTCATCAGAATCTGAACCTGATTAAAAAAAACATTGAGAAGCCAGTCAAGATTTCTGTATAAGAGAGAATCGAAATGGGTATTTTGGTCAAGGAAACAAACAGACATGTACACATTGTATGAGAAGGAAGGAGAGGAGAATGAAATCAGTGAGAACAAACTGAGGGCTATTTT